TCTTTTTTGAATTGGGACCTATCGGATTACCTCAGCTAGCTCTTCATAAAAGTTTAAACAAAAAAGTAAGTAATTAATCCTATCTTTCTTCAGTCGGCTGTAAAGGAAGCTCAGCTCATTAGTGCCAAAAGCGGAAAGCAAGGCAGGGAAGCTAATTGCGACAGTCAAGGCAGGCAGACAAGAAAGACAGGTCAAGGTTGCTCAAAGATGCCAGTAGTCGCAGCTGAAAGAAAAGGTTTCTGGGATCCAAACCCAAGATCTCTCAACAATCTTCTCGACCATAGTAACTCGCACACACCTTGAGCCATCCCACGGTACTTGGCCTCGGCACTAGACCTAGACACCACTTTTTGCTTTTTATCAGTAAGCGGGAATCCGTTATCAAAGAAATCTTCATACGAAAAAATAAACTTCAATAAACAAATATCTTTCACCTACGTAACTAGTAAACAATCAAATAATAATAACTTGCATAATCTTCATACGATTAAATACATAATAGTTATACTACCAAAAGAAGAGATATATAATGAACCTAGTAAGTCATTTGCCCATTACTCATCAATAACAATCACTGTAAGCCATGCTCCATAAGATTAAATACATAATCTTTTTTTTCTTCATCGGTCATGGTAAAGAAGACCCTCAACAAATCGTGCTCTTTGGCTAAAATATTGGTGATACGAAATACTTGCAAAGGAGATAGGAATTCTATTTTCCTCAGTTTACCACCAAGTTTAGCTTGCATATCAACAAGATCCTTCTCTGTTGAAAAAACATTAACCAAGCCTGCAAGCTCCTGCTACAGCCTCAGCCATAAGTCCAAATTTGTTAGACATTTCATTCAAAGCATTTACCTTCCTACGAGGATCACTTGGACCACTTGCTACATCTTGTGCGGGTCTCTTCTGTTGGGCACGTTGTTGGGCACTTGAGGGTTGGGGATTTGGTTGTGTAAAAGTTGTTTCATCATTTTCTAAATCCTCAACATCATCAAATTGAGATCCCTCATATTCTGAACCCCCATATTGTGACCCACCATCAGGATGTGAAAACATCTCCTCAATAAAATCATCACCCACACTTCTATTTTGATGAACACTTGCATCATCTCGCCTAACGTCTTCTTCATCATCATCAGCATTTCCAGCATTTGTTCCAATAGCACAATCTTTTCCAAATATCTCTCCAAGTGTATAGTAATGTGGAAAGGACTTGCCATACAAACCACTTGCATCCTTTTTGTTCTACAATTACAATATATATATATATATATACCTGCATTAGTATTCTTAAATAAATATTAAAGACATAGCATAACATATGTATTTTTTCATTTGATATGCACATAATAGGATATGCTTGGATTTACCTTCGCCCATGCATCAAATACACTTTTCTCACATACCAACATCATCTCCTCTTCATTCCACCCAAAACCACTTTGAGATAATCCATCAGCTAAAACACCATATTTTCCCTTCAAAGTCTTCACCCTTGATTCAATATGGGGTGATGCCTTCAACCCAGAATTCGGAAGTTTGACTTCTAGCATAGTTTCTAATTTATTCAAGTATCCATTTTTAAAGCCTGAGTCACCTCGCCAATTGGTATTCTGATGGAGTTCCATCAAGCATTCCATCAATGTGTTATCCTCCTTAGTTGTCCAATAGCGCTTATTTTGTCCCCTTCCTCCCCTTACTTTTCCACTTGAAGTAGTAGTAGAACTCATGACGATAAATGATCTACTACAAAAAATAAACCAAAAAAAGATATAAGTGATGAAAAACAATGAATCTGCTATACAAGCGATGAAAAACATTCCAGCTCTAAAAAATGAATGAATGAATGAATAAAAAGGATCTTAAAAACACGTACTCACATTAGTTGTTCATATTCAATACATTACACAAGCACAATAAATAAATAATGTCTTGAGTACATTAAATGACACGATAAAAACAAACAAATAATGTGCTCATCACATGTCTTTATTCCCTATTTCCATTCCATGTATTCCACATTTCATTTGCAAGGTTTTGCCTCCGTACACTCCAATCGTCTGAGGACTCAACTGTACCAATGTAATCATTTGTTTCCAAAGTTCCATCTACAAGCTAATTGTCCACTTGATGTTTAATAGGATCCAAAGCCATCTCTTTTCTTATAAAGTTATGGAGCATACAACACACAGAAATTATACAACGCTGTGTTATAATATCATAAAAGGATGGACTCCTAAGAATTGCCCAACGCATTTTTAATAAACCGAAACACCTCTCATTAACATTTCTAGCACTCGAATGTTTCATATTGAAAAATTCATTTGGTGTCTCAGGTCGATGGCCATCCCTCCAATCATTAAGATGATAACGTTGTCGTCTAAAAGGTGCAAGGAAGCCTGTTCTGTTGGTGTAACCAGCATCCACTAAGTAATAATAACCTAATGTAAAAACAAAACAGTAAGAGACATAAACATAAAGTGATATTTTATGCATAATGGAAAATGCACTAAATTAAAATATTGATTTTTAAATATTACCATTAGGGACTTTTAATCCATTTCTCCCACTCAGAGCATCTTTAAGGACTCGACTATCATGTGCAGAACCCTCCCATCCAGCCAAAACATATATAAACTGCAGGTCTTGAGAGCAAACTCCCAAAACATTCGTTGTTATTTCACCCTTCCTTGTTCTTCACCCTTCCTTGTTTTGTACTTTGGTTTCTCTCGTTCTGGTACCTTCACTCTAATATAGGTTCCATCTAATGCTCCTAAACAGTTCTATATTAAAATATAAAAAATTATTAATAAGGTTCTTAAAAGAAAATAAGTATTTTTGTTTTGAATAATTTCATAGCTATAAATAGTGCATACCTTAAACCACTTCCACCTATAGTCTGTTGGGTTCTCAAGTACAGGTTCTGGTGATTTCTAGAAATCCTTTTGGCATCGAATCATTGCCTTCAAGCACTCATGAAAATACTTACTAACAGTTCGTCCCGATCCAGTAAAATTAAATTTTATGACGCGATTCTTATGATGGTGTGCAAGAATATTTAAAAAAATTGCAACCATCTCCTCTGTGGACATGTTTCGGGTCGATCGTAGTTCTCCTTTAGTGACCAAAATTTGACAAAGCTTATGAAAAGATTGTCTATCCATCCTTAGTTGGTCAATACATGTAGTATCACTCTCATAAACTAGTCCATGTAGGTATTCTAGTTGTTTGTAAACTCTTATCACCGAAGGAAGACTTGGTCGACGACTTTTTCGATAAGCTAAGCGTGCATAGACATAACCCGCAGCACATACAACAAATATTATTCGAAGGTAGACAATCAAAGCATTTATAGTAACACGTAGTTTCCTCTTTGTGGACAAACTTAATCGAGCCATTTGTCTACATGACATTAAAAAATATATATATATTATTCAAGATATCAAAACCTCAACATCTAAGAAAGCTGAATTTTAAGAATCTTACCTAATTTGGGATATGATATTGCTTTGCAAACGTTGCTTTCGTGCTTGACAAGATATACTCACAATCACTGACACCTGTAAAGAAGTAAAATTGTAAAGCCTACGTATTACAACAAAAGTTTGTTGTTTTTTTTTTTGTTGCTGTAGACATGCAAAAATATATCTATGATATGAAAAACAGTTTAACATATGTGAAAAGATTCTGATCAACACAATACATCGAAACCTGTAAAAGGATATTGGGAAAAACCAAAAACTAAAAGAAAAAAAGAAACAATTGATCTATGGCATGAAGGCTTTTTCTCTTTTCCTTTTCTGATCAACACAATGCGAATATTGGTTACCTAAGCCTAATCCTTGTTCTGTATGACAACAATAGTAAAGTGGTAAGAGTAGTAATTATCACATATCCCGTATGTAGAATTATAGAGTGGAAGGGAGACTCTAGTAATTATCATGTATGTAGTAATTATCACATATCCATTGATTGAAACTCCAAACAGCAACAATCACTATAGGTTGAGTTGTGAAGACAGAAGATAGAAGAAGAAGAAAAAGGTAGATAGATAGATAGATGGAGTGACTTACATAGTTTATGCTGCTTCAGGGAGGCTGTGTTTGCAATGTTAAGGGTTTGAGTTGTTTGAACTCATTCTGGCGTGTATTCTCCTTCTAGCGTGTAATTTTTATTTTTTTTATTTTAGGGTTTGAGTTGTTTTGGAATTATAGTAAAGTAGTAAGGGTATTTTTGGAAGTTAATAAGAGAAAACAGGAATGGGAATCGTTTCGACTACTCCCCATAGTTGATCTGATACCCAGTTTTGAGGGAATGTGATTACGGATTTTGAGGTGGGGCCCACTTATTTTTTCATTCCTGATTGCAAGTAAACACAGGGGAAGTCAGGAATGGAAATCATTCCCTTTCCTCTCATACCCATTACTAATACGTAAACATGCCCTAAATCTTCAAGAATCTGCATGCAATCTAAGGGATTACCTCACCTTTTTTTCTCAAGTTTCTGATATTTATTCATTAGTTGTTTGTTTGCTAATTAATTGGCTCCAATTTTTAGTTCTATTGATTTGTGTGTGTGTGTGTGTGTTTTTTTTTTTTTGGATTTGGTTGTACTTATTTGTTTTAGTGTTTGGAAAACGAATTTCTAAATTTAACTAGACTATAGGCCTCGTTCACATTTAGTTATGTTGTTTTTGGGCTTTAGCCCCCTACCAAAAAAAAAAATTAGACAATTTGAATAATTATATATCATATTATAGAAGAAGCCATGAAAAAAAATAATTAGTCATACTCTAAATAAATTCCTGATTCCGCCATTGTTCATGGAACTCCACAAAAAGTAACTCCAAGTTAGTCACTAGTCCACAAACACACAATCATCTGGATCTAGCTATATATATATCTCCTAGTTTATTTAGAAAAGAATGGGAGTTTGAATGACATGTATGCTGGTTGCAATTTTTGTGTTGTTGACAAATAAGTGACATAATTAGTTTGTATTGGAACGTTTATATTGACATCCTTGGAAATTTATATATAAAAATTCCAAATGCTATATAACTTAAATAACTTATCATAATTATGGAAGAAACTAAATGTCTCTCAAAAGAACTTTGTAAGCTAAGACACATCGAAGCAATAAACAAACAATCCATATGGAATTCTATCCCGATCTGCTAGTTTCAGACCCGTTTATTCCAGTTTATCTCTCTCCTTGCCTTTCGCATATACACTGTGACTGCATGATAAGACAAGCCGAAAATACAAATTAATATTAGTTAGCAACCGATTATTAGAAATTTGTAACATGTGCTTGTCATAATTACACAAAATATACATGAACTTTGTAATTGTGTTATGGAAATCATGAATGAGGCCATGACATGTCCACATCCTTATTATTACAATTGATTAAATATGAACACTTTTTGACTGTGGTGCCACCCGTGTGCGTTTGTTTCCATTATTTACCTTAAAAGGAAAATTAGTCATAAAAAATAAATATTAAATGCAAATATGCGTAATATAAGGGTGTTTTTTTCAACATTTTTAGCATGAATTCGGTCTATAATAAAATACCCCTTTGTTAATTAGAATTAACAAATGAGTTGCACAGACCTGCTTATGCTTCAAGTTTTCACAGTTGTGACATACTTCATGAGCATGCTGACGATATCCGATCGGACCTTTGATGATGATTCCTTCAAGTTTTTAATCTTCGCATCAGTTTCCTCCTCAAGCCTTTTTACATTGGAGCCAGAGCTCCCACTTGTCTGAAAAAAAATTAAAACCTAATCACAGAAACGCATATATATACAGAAGAAGGACTCAAATTACTTTATTGAAGCTCATGTTGTGGTACATCTGAAATCATCTTTTGATACTCAGCCTCCATATTGGTGCGATAGAGTTTCACTTCCCTCTCAGCTTCGTCTTTAGCTTGCCTCAAGCGCGCCGTCTTTGCTGAAGAATGCAAGATTGTTTTGTTGTCAAGAGTTAAAAGGAAAAAGAACAGAATGATAAGAACACAAAAAAAAAGAGAGCTTATGGATATACCGGTTCTGGCACTGTTAACAATGTGTTGAGCATCCTGTTCTGCTGTTAGCAGCATCTGGATGCCGCCTTGTCCTCGAACGGAATCCATGGCAAGTGTGCTACCTGAAAAAGGGAAAGAACTAAGTCTACCTTGAGAAAACCAAGGAACTTTTAAAATATAACACTATATAATTCGTTTTTCTCATCTATACTTTTTCATCTCTACCTTGAGACATTTTTCTTGGCTGTCATCTTGTTCAGTAAGTGAAACCTCATCAGATATTCAATCCAGAAAAGTCCAATAAATTCTAGATGACAGAACAGACATTTCCTATAGATAGAGTAGCATTCAGTAATGAATAGCTATTGCAACAAATCATATTCTAATTCACCTTTCAAAAATAAGGGTTGTTTGATGCAAACAAAGGCGGATTTATATAATTAAATAATAATAGAATAAACTCGTTCGTGAACTGATACTTGCATATCAGTCCCTCTATTGAGGACTATATATATTCATATATGGGACAAATGATTCAGAAAGAGAAAGTAAGAAAACTTTAAAACATATGATATTAGAAAATACCTGAATTTCTCCTGTCTTATTGAAGAGAAAGGAAAATATATAGGTCAAAACCTGAACGAAAATATTTATAGCAGAAGGGTTATATCCTCAGAAACGCTCTCAGGAGGAGTAATGAATGAGAGTATAAGTTGTTTGAAGGTAAAAAATGTTGGAGAGGAGAAACTCCATAAGTGCCGCGTGTAATTAAGTAGTGTATTATGTTTTAATAAAATTACCAGCAGAGACGCGTTCTGTTGAGAAATTACTGGGTCCTCAACCCCAAAATTTTCCATGGTGATGAGTGAGCTCTAGATTCTCATGTTATCATCTTATTATATATCTAAATTGATGAACACACGACACGTATACAAAGTGAGCTTCAATTGGGATCCCTCAAATCAAAGAATGTATATATGCGTAGTGGCGGAGCTAGTAGCTTATCTTTCGGGGGCAGTAGTTTCAAGGCTTTATATATAGTTCTTATATTTCAACTGATACAGCATCAGGTATTTAAGAATTATTGGTTTTTTCATGGAACTTGGGGGGCCCACGGCCACTACAATCCTGTATGTGGCCCCACCCCTATATATGTGTATGGCAGTTCCAAATGGGTGCATTTTTGCTCACCACCTTAACCCTAGGTGTACCCTCACCACCCCTCCCAAAAGTTGACACATGTCCATGAGTTTAACTATAGTTAATTCTTATTTTTTATTTATTTGATAACATTATTATGAGAGAGAAACAATACTTCAATAAGATTTTTCCTGATTTACCCTTATTAACCTAGCAAACTTTCCACTTTTTTAAAATTAATTAACAACTCCCCAAATAATAATCTATGCTGATCTTCAATTGCAAGCTTCCTCCATTTGTTCAGTGAAAGATAGGTAATAATCTATGCTGTTTTTTTTTTATTTTTATAGTACTGTGTATTGCTTGATTATTTTTTATACTTTGGTGATTGCTCTGCGTTATTTAGTTTTTTTAGTCCATGATGTTGGTATGTCTGGTGGATCAAGACTAGCACAGAAAGGAATGATAGAATGAACCATACTGCAGAGCCAGAGTAATGAGACAATGAAGGGTATTATTGCAGAGCTTGGTTCCTTCATCGTTTTTGGAATTTCTGCAACTCCAATATATTTTGCTCCTATGGAGTAAGCTTTATTTAGAATAATAAAACCAGAATTAATTAGTCCAAAACTTGCAACATCATAATTAACTCATCGGTTGAAGAAAGAAAACAGGTTCAAGGATATTGAGAAATTGCAACGTAATAATATATTGAAGAACAGTGTAACTTTTGGGCGTGTATAAAAAGAGTTAACTAAAGCCAATTGAGATTCAAAGTATCTGGGTGTGTTCTTCAAAGTATTGAAGCCTGTGAATTGATATTCATATTAAAGCACGGGATATAAAGCCAATTGCCAATTATTTATTTGGGTAGTTGTTAATTAATTTAGAAAGGTGGAAAGTTTGCTAGGTTAATAAGGGTAAATCAAGAAAAATCTTATTGAAGTATTGTTTCTCTCTCATAGTAATGTTATCAAATAAATACAAAATAAAGAATTAACTATAGTTAAACCAATGGACATGTGTCAACTTTTGGCAGGGGTGGTGAGGATACACCTAGGGTTAAAGTGGTGAGCAAAAATGCACCCGTTCCAAACATACCCGTGCTTACTTTTTTCATGTTTAGTTTTTCAACTCTCTTGCAAGACTTGTGTTATAACTGTTTACCCTAAAATGTTCGAGCCGTAGAGATAGGGTTGAGATTATGTGAATTGCGAGTGTGCAACTATTGGCAGTGAAAAAACCACTAATAAACTTTAATGAAATAAATAATTTACGCACCAAGATACTGAATTAAACAAAAGATTGTGAATTGAAATAGTAAACTACTCCAATTGAGGTTCTTTTCTATGCTCAAGACAAATTAGGACATTATAATTTATCTAATACAATGAAAAGGAAATAAACAGCAAATCCATGGAAATAGACTCATATAGTTGACCTCAGGCCCTGATCATTCTGACCTTCCATGTCCGTCCCCTATTTTTCCAATATGTCAGCCGATATTGACGATGATTTCATCATAGTCCATATGTATATGGTTAAAATTAGTGTAACCTCAAAATTTGATTACATGTTAGTACTCGAAAAAGAAAATAACAGTTTAATAACATAACATTAATATTATGTGATATTTATTTGTTGGAAGGATCCTTCATATTATACAAAACTTATTTATTTATTTATTTATTTCATAAAGCAAGTGGATTTAGTACAAGAGAAAAAAAGTGATGAGAGTTAAGAACAAGGGCAATGAAAAAAAGACCATACAATGGCTCGCCACTCCTGGCTAGCTACTAAGTCAACCATCAAAGAACTACATGGTTGGCAAAGCTTATTAGCCACATCATGCATTGCCCTCTCTGTCTATATGAGAAACTTTGAAGCTTGATCATGAAACTTATTCTTCGATGAAGACAATGTCTCCGCTGAGGACACAAAGACCAAGGAGCAGAAAGGGGTTTAGGGAAAAAATGTATGACCAACTGAGAATCTGTTTCCAACCATAACGAAACCAGCCCTTCTCCCAAGCTGTGATTATAGCGAACATGAGGACTGCAAGTTTAGTCACATGCGCAGCGGGGATACCGATTGGCTCACAAACAGCACTGACAGCACGACCGGCATGGTTGCGAAAGAGACCACCAAAGCCAGCTTGCCCCAGAAAACCTTTTCTTGGTCCATTTGTAGTAGCCTTAATCAATCTGCTTTTATAAATTAATTAGCCTTAATCAATCTGCAGTCCTTAACCTAGCTTCTACTCTCTAGCAATGCATGATAACTCATGGAATTTGGAAAAGGACAACTAAAAACCTAATGTACATACCTGATCGCTGGAACTGGTACATCCAAGATAGA